GCCGAAGATTAGTCATTACCTTAGCTTAAGAGTCCGTGGTAACTGAAAATTTGCATTTTTTGTGCCTTTAATCAACGTTTTTAAGTAAAATCCACCCAGAAATCAGTTCTTTAATGGGCATGAAAGGTCTTCAGCCAAAAAACAAAAAAAAAATCAAAAAAATTCACAAATCTGCAAGCCTGATTCCACCACGCTGCCTCACAAATGCAAAAACATTTACAGTTGGCTGTGTTACATGATGGTGCAATAGAAAGTTTAACGATTAAGATAAAGAAAATTAAAAAACATAAACAAAACAACCTTTCAAACTTAGGAAAAGGATTTGCTTTGGCCACCTTTGAGACGTTACAAAGTTCATACCGCCCACCCACATGTATTTCCTATCAGAGCCTAAAAAAACGAACAAAAACAAATACAGAAAATATCACATAACCCCCCCCCCCCCCAATCCCACCAAAACAAACGAACAAGAATCAAACATGAACACCCGAATACAAAAGCTAAAGAAAAGAAACGAGAAGAAGGGAATTTTACAAAAATAGTCGATGACAGGGCGTGGTGGTAATGGAGGAGGAAACGAATGGAAGAGATAAGGCAGAGTGAGAGAAGACACAAAATGTCAGGCAACATGGTGGAATCAGGCTCTCGTCAATTTTTGGGCACATAGAGTTATTGGTATCATCTTAAAGCTTGTTTACTTGTCTTTATTGGATGAACAAAATATCCGTTTATCTGAAATACAAGTCGAGATATTTGAGAATGAAGGATATGGGGGTCACCTGTTTTCAGAGGTAAAATTAGTGAGAAAATGGCCGCTAAAGATTAGTTAGTTCCTTAGCTTAAGAGTCCGTGGTAACTGAAAATTTACATTTTTTGTGCCTTTAATCAACGTTTTTTCAGAAAAATCCACATAGAAATGTGTTCTTTAATGGGCATGAAAGGTGTTGAGCCCAAAAGCAAAAATTTGATAAAAGTTCACAAAACTGCGAAAAAATGCAAGTTTCTTCACTTTGACTATTTTGACGAAAGCCTGATTTCACCACGCTGCCTCGCATATAGAAGACGTGACATAGAGCGCCATTGATAATAAAGGAAGAACATAATATGACACCATTAAACAAGGACACAGACAGATTTCTGTTTCCGAAATCGTCACGTGTTACGGATACAAAATCAATAATGTTACGGATAATAATGACGATAACAATAAGACTACAATTTTTTAATCATTATTGTCTAAGTTATCATATTGTTAAAGTTTCTAATTCTGTCTTTATTATGTCATTATTAATTAAATTACCATTACCATTCTTCTTCTTCTTCTTCTTCTTCTTCTTCTTCTTTTTCTTCTTCTTCTTCTTCTTCTTCTTCTTCTTCTTCTTCTTTTTCTTCTTCTTCTTCTTCTTCTTCTTCTTCTTCTTCTTCTTTTTCTTCTTCTT